GATTTATGGCACTGCTGATAGTCATCCCTTCTGGGTATTTAGGCCTCTGTTTCTACTGTCTCTGGACTGGACTTTCAGTACCACTCACAGAATCAGCTCAGTACTGTGCATGAAAGGGGATATTGTTCTGTTCTTTATCCCCTTGACTGGCACCTGGCACCCCCTGCCTGGGTCATCCTAGCACCTCTCAGTTTAGAGTGGACTGCCACACTACTCACCTCTCCCCTTTACCATCTCCTGCCCCTGCTGCAGCTTCTAGGTAACTCTCTTTACCCACATTTTGTTGATTTTCCTCAGTGTCTCTTCTGTTGTGGTCAGTGTCAGTCACTGATCTCTAGAAAGTGTTCCAGTTTTGTACCAAATAGGGGAATCCTCTGAGTCTAATACCTTTCTGAACTGCTCTAGAGTATCTTCCAGGAAGTGAAGCATAGAATCTCCTCTGATGCCATCTTCCCAACATTTTATTCAGATTCTGAGTAGTAGGAGCCAAGTAATAGTGGACTGCTAGATGTAAGCTTCATATGTACTCTATGGATGACTGGAAAATCAAATGTTTTGATACCAAGAAGCTTTGCTGATTAATTGATCACAATGTCTCTCAGAAAAACAATGGAAATTCTTTATCTATATATTTGGGAAAAGTTAAGGTATGTCATGCAGAAAACTGATGTTAGTCTTTACAATGGTAAATTATGGCCTATTAGCTCATTCTAAGCCAGTTTACAAACGATTGATCCCCTAATTCAATTGGATTCTACTAATGAAGAGTCCTACAACTCTACCAAATATACATAGTGCAAGTCTTCTAAACCAACATCCAGAAGTATCTCTTGCCATTTATTAGAACAAATATTTATGTACAGAAAGGAAAAACTTTAGTCTTTTAGGAATTAAAATGGTTATCTGTTGACTTCCCCATAAAAGACCCCAGAATAATATACCTGCTGATCAAACAAATACTACATACATAGTAAATGTAAACATCATTTTGACAGAATCTTAGCAGTGTATCAGAAGAGGTATTCTATGTGTATAAAATTTAAAGATTTCAGCAGTGTGATATGACTCTTACAATGCAATTATCTGTTGTGCTACAACAGAAATGATGGATAGTGTGAGTATGAGTTATGGCAGTCTTGATGAGAAAATGTTTGAGAGACAATTGATTCAATCAATTGAATCATATAGTGTTCTAAAAGATGTTTACTTAACAGTGTATTACTCATATAAACCTAATAATAAAGTTATGTTTTGATTTGAAGCCTTCTTTTTCTGGGTAAGAATTTTCTAGAATTAATTGTAAAGTTTCAGTAATGTAGGGGTCATAATTTTGAGTTCTGCTAACTAAGCAACATGAATATAAATTGTCTTAGTTCTCACTAGATGTTGGTTCTTATTAATACTAATTCCTTATGGTTCCAAACACCACTTTGGTCCATCAGTCAGGGTGGAGGCTTATTGTGTTGAAGTCTTAAGTAGTATTTTGGCTAAGGAAATTTGTAAACCTACTATATGGCTATTTCTCAGACACTTAATGTGTATTTAAGGTAGGCATACTCAAAGACTGGTAAAGCCATATGATTCTCTAGACCATAAAATAAGTTCTATTATGGTGTAAAGCAAGTAGAAGCTCAGGAATTTGTATTCCTTACTGGGACAATAAACTAAAATCAATGCTACATCCCTGGGGAACTACAAGTATTTAGGACCAACATATACTTGAGGGGAAAAGAAACATACATATAGATACATATATGCCTCTAGACAAGGCGAATAGCTCTTAGAAAACCACTGTTGATTATTGTGAAGTTAATCAGACTCCAATCACAGTGGTTGTTGTTGATATATTCATTATTGCTGGGGAAAAAAAATACACATGGCTCCTGTTATGCTGTTTATTGGCCTGGAAAATCCTTTTTTGTCTGTAACAACATTTGTAGGTACCCCTGAATGAAGGCTATTTACCTTCCAGGGACAGAAGTACCTTTTAACAGCCTGTCTTAGGAACGCATCAACTCTCCTACTCCATAATATAGCCTACAGAGATCTTGATTATCCTAATATTCCACAGAGCATTGTGTTCTGTGGACAACAATTCTTGAGCTTGTTCAATGACCTAGGTACAAAGTGATTGTGGTGGGGGAAGAAGCAGGCTTAGCAATTGGGATTTATCCTTACCAAGCTGACCTGATTACTACTATCATTGAGTTTATAACCTACCATTAATGAAAATTACTTTTGAGCCCCAACATAGAGCTTTCCTTTGGGGAATCAGCTAGGCATCTATTAGCAGGTTGATCACACTGAATCTCTGTCATCATGAATGGATATCAATTTGATGTCATTGGAATAAACATCTACTCTAGATATAAATTTGTTTTCCTTGCCAATAATGTTTCTGTTTTGAACAGCTATATGCTTCTAGAATGGCTCAGATATTATCAAAGTACTTCCATGCCCAATAGTAAAAGATAATGAAAAAATACAGCAACCAACCAAAAGCAGTAACATTGAGATTTCATATATTTTGAGATGAAGATATAGATTAAGGTTATAGCTGAAGGTGACAGAAATAATGAGTGGTAAGTGAAAGAAAATAAGTATCAAATATGACTTCATGATCAGTCGGCATGTTTATGTGTTAGACTATACATGTGTGTACATGTATATAAACTAATTTGTTTTTTTTCTATCCTCTTTCTTATTTATTTGCCAATTATTGGTTCTGGATAATATTCAAATGAGATTGTAGCCAAATATAAGGAATAACTATAATTACCAACATCTGGATACTATAATTTATAAAGATAGTATGTTTATAAATTAGAATAATTAAGTCTTATTGTGATGTTTTTCCTGTTAACCGAGTTTTAAATATGGGGACATTATGTGTATGGATGCTGATTAGCTCAAGAAGTGAGCTGCATCAAATAATAAACACTTTTCTAAGTATAAATCCACCCCGACTTGTGATTCTAGAGCAGCTTTGTCATCAAGGTTTCCATTAGCAGCTGCCAACAGGGGCAAAGTTTGCAAAGAAGGGTGAAGAAACTGAGTCCTTACATTTTGCTGTTTTTCCTGTCCAAGTCATCACAGCAATATTTCTTCATCCTGACAGTGGTTTACACATTGCAGAGTTCATTTTTACATTCCCAGAACCAGTCTCACCCTGTCTTTCAGATGACTAAACATTCACTGATGAGTGCCATTCCCCAGTCTGGCACCAGATACTCTCCTTTGAACTCCTGGGGTATCCCAACCAACTGTACGTTAACTGCTTATCAGGCGTTTGGACCCCAGTCTTGCTAACCCTTCTTCCTTCTCTGGGCTCTGAATTCCACCACACATCAGAGCAGATCAGCTTTCTCAGAAGTCTGGGTGGCTCATGGGCCCCCTTCGGAGGTGTCAGTACTAGTGGGTCAGTGTCCACTCCCAAGATGTTTGTGCTCCAAGACTCCAGGTTGTAATAACCCAAACCTTCTCCTTTTCACCCCCATACCTACGGAGACTAACTTCTTATCTAGGTTGTAGGAATTTTCTGCCTCTGCAATCCTATATGTTCTTGTTTTGCCACTGCTGTTCTCAAATATCTGTTTTAGCAAGTCTTTGCTGTACATTTTCTCTGCTAAAATAATTAGTGTGGATTTGTTTCTGACTGGACCATGACTGATACATAAATTTTATAATAATGGCTTAAGTACTTTTTTCTGCTCTAATCTTCATCCTTCAAAACTGTTTTGTGTCAGTCCAAGCCTATTGATAACAAATATTATAGCTGGACTGAACCTTTATTTTTTAATATTATTGCATTAATCATCAGAAAACTCTAAAAGAGACAGGATTTATTACTTACAGGTCCTTGAAGTAATGACCTACATATAGGGAAAGAGAGAGAACATGTTTTTATAATCGAGGAACCTAGGATTCTGCTTTTATTGAAGACAAGCATGGGGGGCCAGAGTCTCTTGTGCTCACATTTTATTAATGCATTTAAAACATAATATTGGGAATTTAAAGCACTGAAAGAGAAAAAAAGTTACTCATATGGTCAGTTATAAAAGTCAAGCAGGATTTCTAAAACAAGCAATCTCACAACAAAGGGAACCTAACTTCTATCTAGTTGTGTGGCTGTCAGTGTCTTTTCTGAGATAGCCCTTTTGTAACTGTTTGAAGTATATGTCTCTACAGTCAAACCTTTAGTGAGCACTTATATTACAATAAAAGAAAAACATAGCATCTTTCAGGCCTTACGCTATAAAAACAGATAAATTTCCCATAGCAGTAGTTGAAGTACTAAAATTAATTACAGCTGGCACAGAAATTTTGGCATGCAAATAGTGTTTTTAAAAATCTGTTTACATATTATCTCATTTGATGATTTCTTCTTACATGCATTCAATAAGGGTTTAGTAAGTAAACAACTGCTCTTTTGAGGCACAGGACCAGGGGCTGGTGTTGCATAAATAAATGAGATATTAGCCCTGCAGAGATAACTTCTAAACAACAAGATAAATTTTTATTTCTTAAAGGCAGCCTATTAAAGCTCTTAATGGGCAGTAGGGAAAAAGCTAAGCTTTATCCAAGGATATTTATAGAGACTCCGTTTCTGCCCTCTAGATAGTTTCATTAAGATATCCATATTTACTATGCTGAACCGTCGATTATATGACACAGAAAATATTTAAAGGGAATGGGATAGTGGCCAGCACTTGCTAAACATTTAATGAAAGATAGTTATCACACAGAATAACTAAGAAATAAAGTGAATTTACATCAAGTATTTTAAAAATGATGTTAATGACAGTAATAGCAATATACATATTGCTTCTTCACAGGACTTTACATTTACATGTAGTGATTACCAGAGAATTCTTATGAGTTAGGCCAGCCGTCATGATTCTCATTTATTGATGAAGAAAGAGATACTCATAAAGAGCAACATACCTATATAACTCACACAACAAAGAGGTGGCAGAATAAGGCACCAGGGCCCAGGAACTTCAGTGCTGGCTGCCAATCTTGCAACGGTCCAGGCCCTTTCGCAGGGCCCCCATCACCTCCCGATTCCTCAGACTATAAATGAGGGGGTTGAGCATAGGAGTAAGGACTGTGTAGAAGAGGGAGACCACCTTGTCATGGCTTGGGGCTCGATAGCGCCTGGGCCGCAGGTATATGAACATGGCTGCTCCATAGAAGAGGGACACAGCCGTCAGGTGAGAGGAACAGGTGGCCAGGGCCTTTTTACGAGCCTGAGCAGAGCGCATCCGGAGCACAGCCCCTAGGATGCGAGCATAGGAGGCCACAATGATGGAGAAGGGCAGGAGCAGCATGAAGACACAGCAAGCAAAAAGCAGGGTGTCGAAAAGTGATGTGTCTGCACAGGCCAACTTCAACAGAGCTGGCACTTCACAGAAGAAGTGGTCCACTTTCCTTGAGCCACAGTAGGGAAAACTCATGGCTGCCACCATCTGGATCACACCATCTAGTATACCAAAGGCCCAGGAACTCCCAACGATTTGAAGACAGACCTTCTGACTCATGAGGATGGGATAGTGAAGTGGATGACTAATGGCCACATAGCGATCATAAGCCATGAGGCCCAGCAAGAGCCCCTCAGAGCCCACAAGAGAGACAAAAAAGCCAATTTGAATGCCACAACCCACAAAGGAAATGTATTTCCTACCAGACAAGAAGTTGACTGCCATCTTAGGCACAATGTTACAGACCAACATGAGGTCCATGAAGGAGAGCTGGCTGAGGAAGAAGTACATAGGTGTATGAAGTCGAACATCTGTGTAGATGAGGAAGATGAGAAGGACATTTCCACAGAGGGCCACTGTGAAGACTATCATGACCAGTGAGAAGAGGATAAGATCACTCTGGTTACGGGAAAAGATGCCCAAGAGTATGAAGCCATCTGTGGATGATTGGTTCAACCACATTCCCATGACTCGTTGTCCACAGTTACCTGAGAACTCGTTGTCCACAGTTATCCTGAGATTTATCTCATGCTTTATTTGTCCATTAATTTTTCTTCAGTAAACTATATCTTTCACAATTGATCAGAACTCAATAGCATGTGCTATAGGACAAACAAGAGAATGTATTTTTATATTCTAGTAACACAGGGTGATAGGATCTTTGTTAGCTCACAAAAATCAGGCCATATACATACAGCAAGGAAGGGGGGCAAAACAGGGAGGAAAGGGCACAAGGGGATATGGTCATGGTTCATGGCAAGAGAAATACAGGGACTATACCTGAAACCAATTACTGTACAAAAATGAACAATGTAAGAAAATTTCTTAAATAAAATATTTTTAATTTTATATTTGTTTATATAGACACCAAAAATAATATTTGAATTATTTTACATGTCACTAACTATTGAACAACATTTTCCAAAAGACAAAATATTGATTTTCCAATATGAAGCTGACTTTTCTTAACTTGGATTACACAGATTTAATAAACTATCTCTAGTAGACTATTGCATACCACAAATATCATTTATATTGTTGGAAAAAGGGAGATAATAGAGATTTGAGATGTTCTTTATTTTCTTGGCCAAATATTCATGGAATCATTTTCAGTTCCTCTGTATCTTTATTCCCTAGATGCAAGCTATGAGAAAAGCCTCTTGACTACATTCAGAGTATCTCAAAATCCAAGTCAGTCTTGTCACTCTCCTTGCTATTGCTCTTGTTAAAGCTACCAAATGGCTTCTTTCAGGTGCCTATCCAGTTTCTCGTTTTCTATCCTTGAATTCCTTGTGTCTTTTCAGATCAGTTCAAATGATTCTGCTAAAGCATGTAAGATGATGTAATCTTTTTGCTGAAAGGATGTCAATGACTTCCCCAGAATGTCCAACTAAAACTCAAATCATTGTAACACCACACCCCAGGATCTTTATCACACACACATTAGTACCTCTGACCTCATCTCCTATCTTTTCTCACTGTGCTTCCTAGATTTTCCTCAGGTAAATTGGACACACTCTCAACTTTGGGTCTTTGCATTCTCTCCTCTTTGCAATGCCCTTGCTCAACTATCTCTCATCTTCATATACCTACTCACAGCCTCCACAGGATGCCTTCTGTGAACGCCATATCAAAACTGAAAATGCCTTGCACTCTTGAACCCTTCCCGGCTTTTCTTTCCCCCATAGCACTTACACCATTTAAAGCTTACATGTGTCTATTTTTTAAAATTATAAATTAAATAATAATAATTTTTAAAATACATAAGTAAAATATATGTGCTTATGATTTTTGATTTTACTGTCTTCGTCTCATCTTACTGAAATAAAAGCACCTTTATTTTTCCTCTTGACCCTATAGCCATTGCCTCGCTTATAGTGTTGATTGAATAAAGTAATATACCACAAAATGATTTATGACTACAATTTCTTTTTTTTTTTAATCTCTCCATTTAATTTCAGGGACACCTTTCTTTATTTAAATGTCCTAGGAATTCACCCAGCAGAAATGTTGTTGTAAGAAATATTTTCAGATACTTATAAAAAACAAGGATGTTCTCCACAAAGAATGATGGTGTCATGTGGAAATTATTGTCTGTCCCTTACCTTACAGCAATGACAGAATAAGGCAGACCCATAGGACATGTTCTTTGTGCAAAAATTCAGAGTACTGTTTTCCTAAAGAAGGATGCACCTGCTCAGATCCCTGACCAGATATAGAGACTCAACCTGTGTCTCTCTGAAGGGGAATACATCTGGCTTCTGCCTGAGAAGTTGTGTCCAGGAATCCTTGCACCAGTGACACCCAGGTATCATTTGGGGGAGAGGAGTCTACAGAAGAAAGTCACTGTCCTACCATCTTAAGTTCTTTTTTGTTCATTTGAGCACTCAATCTACCAGCAAAACAAACCCAGACCTCACAGCAGAAAACCGTCCTCCTACCCACTGTGTGCAGAGGCACTGGGTTGCAGTCCCTTCAAGGACATGCTCTCCCCACCCACTCTCACCCTGCCCATCTCATATTTCAAATCTATATTGTTAACGAATGGTATTTTTCTCCCTACTTGGACAGTTCCCTTGCATTATAATTTTTCTATCCATATCCAGAATGTACTCAACATATCCAGTATGGATTTGTCTTCAGTAAAGTGGCAAACTGAGCCCTGGTCTTCCCTGGAGAAATATCTGTCCTCACCTCTTTCCAATCTCAGTGAAAGGCAGGTATGTCCTGTTGCTCTGGGCATAACTAGTAAGCCAGCTTTGACTTATCTCCTTGAAACATTCCAAATATGAGAAAACCCTGCTAGTTTTCCTTCACAACATATCTATTGCTGACCACTTCTATGTCTGTCATTTCCACCTGACACACCATTGTTGCTACTTCCATAGATGAGCAAAATGGCTTTAACTGAGCTTATATTTCCATTTCACCCCTGCACCCTTCCCATTCTACCTGCCACATGTAACTGGAGTGAACCCATCTACAGGATAAAAGCCAAAAGACTTCAAGAATAAAGCAAGACTTGTATCAGCTGGCCCTTCAGATCACACAGTCCTTTCTTTCTGCTCTAAGAAGCCTCCTGTTGTCTCTCCCAGAGAATGCAGACTCCAGTCTGGGGCCTTGGTACCACCTCATGGAAAGTTCCCACCAGATATGCTCAACCTGTTCTTTCACCACCTCATCTTCTCAGTCAGACCTTCTCAATACCTACTTAAATGTGAACTATTTCTTCCCTTCACATTCCTTTAATTTATTATTCCCATGCACTCAGTAGCATCTGATATGCTATGTTTAATTTACATGAATTTAATCTACTTCTGCTTCCCCAAATAGATCCTATCTGTGCACTCTATTCACACGAGGGTCCCTGACTTCTCCAACAGTGCCTGGAAAATATTATATTTTCAGTAAATAGTCTTTAGATGATTGATTGTTTACTGCAAATAACTGAATATTCTTTCTCTAAGCCCCATGTCAGCTCTTCTTCCCTGCTTTTTCACCCACACTTCTCCTCACCAGCCCTTTCTCTTCCAGCTTCAGATCAGCCTTCAACATAAAACCCATCTCTGACCTTCCCTGGTACACAACGAGTTAAAGTGCAGCGCTACAAAGCAAGCCACACCACTTCAGTGTAAGATCCATCCCCAACCAGGGAGGTGACCTGGCGTGACAGACCTCTCCTGACCCACCCATTGCTCCCCTCAGCAGTGTACTTTGTAAATCTGACTGTTCTGTTCCTCACTCTGTCTCTGGTGAATCCTCTCACTGCCCCTGCACCCCTGGCCTATACTCCAGTTCCATATGCATAAATTAATAAATTTTAAAAGGAGAACCCATCTCTGAGCCTCCCAATCCAGCCATCTTTCCAGACAAAGGAAAGATGAAAGAAAAATGTAATAATAAAAAAGTAAAAAAGGAGAAGCATAAAAAGGAAATGGAAGAAGAAAGACTCAGGAGAGTCTTGATAGTAAAAGATGAAAATTCCCTACTCCCAAAGAGAAAAAAAAAAAAAAACTCTAATAAAGGCCTGAATATGAGGGAATGGAAATGCTGGCAAACAGAAATGGAGAGAGAAGCATCCGTCAGTAACAAACCGCAGGGAAGCATAAAGGGGGTGACTGAAAAAGACCCTCACTCACCTTTCAGTGGGTGCCCTGGAGAAAAAGAAATTCAGCACACACTCTGCAGAGGAGGCTCTAACATTGCCATTGCATCCTTCTCCTGCGTTTGCACTTACTGGGTCAGAAAGGACAGGGAGGAGCCCACAGTTCTGATCTCCTTCCTCGGTCGCCCAACAGGAAGGAGACTCTCTAGTTCAGACAAAGGGGCCCAGACAGGCAATGATGGCCTCTAAGTAAGTGGCGGGGGGGTTGGGGGGGACGGAGTCTAGGAGGCAGTGGCAGGCAGATGGGGTGAGCAGCAGGACCGTGTCTCCATGCCCACCCAAGGCGCTCAGCCACTACCACAGTGTCCCTGCCTCTCGGCCTGGGTGGCAGAGCTGACTCCCACTGTCCATGCAGGTACTTAACACAGAACCTGAGGGAGGAGGAAGATGCTGATGACTCCCAGGGGGACCCACAAACACTAGCCTAGAACAGAAGCTCCCAAGCTTACAATTAAAGAGCCAAGCAGGGAGCTTGGGAACAAGACCAGAAGCAGGACCAATGGGACATTGCGAGGAAGCCAAGTCAGGACAGCACCATAGGCAGCCCGGCCCAGGAAGCAGGACAAGTCTCTTGATGTTCTACTCCCCACCACAGACATTCCACACCTGCCTGGGGACCCCAAAGTTCCCTCATGGGGTCTGCCCCTATGACTGCCTGTGTAAGCTTATCCCTGCCCCGTTACCCATACCTCTCCTTTCCTACCCCATGACGGTAGCACCCATGAACTGAGGGTTCATGATACACAGAGCAATAGGTGAGGTGTTGTGTTTGAACCAAAGGTGGGTGCTGAACAGAATCCTAGCCTCTAGGAGTTATAACCCAGTGGGCAGGAAGCTCAGTCACCATCAGAGGACTCAGTAGCAGGCTAGGACCTGGGCAGCACCCCAAACGCTGTCAGGCATTGCTCTATGGTCAGTGCCTTTCTCAGTCTACCGTGGATAACCCTATGGTCTACAACTGTTATGTTTGTCATCTCAGCATAACTGTGCATAACCTTCCATTTCATTCTCAAGAATGCCCCAGGTTGTGTGATAAAGTTATCATCATTCTGATTTTTGGCCTTAAGTTAATTTTTGAACTAGCACTGGGAAACAAATTGCAAATCATCAACTTATCTTTTTCTTTTAACTCTTTCACTTTTCTTTTTACCTTTTTTCATTTTATTTTTTACAGCAGCAATAAAATGTCTTGACTTCTTTACAAAGTGTGAAGGCTCTTCAGATGGGAGTTGATGCACAGAGAAGAGAGGAAATCAGAAGACTGAGACAAAGAGGATTGAAGGGAAAGAAGGAGAGACACAGA